TTTAGTCTTCGAGTGAAGAATTGGGTTAGTAGCTAGAAGTACTGCACCAAGGTTATCATAATATATCTTTGGAGTTCTTATATTTGGTACTCGAAGTTCATGTAGAAGATTCTTCAGCCAAGTAATTTATGCAGTAACAACAACTAAACTTCTATATTCTGCCTTTGTTGTGCTTCTTGAAACACCTTGTTATTTCCTAGATGACCAATTGACTGGATTACATCCTAGGAAGACACAAAATCCTGTTGTTGACTTTCTATCATCAACATCAGCCCCCCAATCTGCATCACAGAAAGCATAAATTTGTAAGTTGTTGGATTTTGACAGAACAATACCTATGGTAGCATCCCACACAGGTATCTTAGAATTCTCTTTACTGCTTTCCAATGAGTGGCCTTTAGTTCTTGCATAAATTGACAAACTTTGTTAACAGAAAATAATATCTCTAGCCTAGTTATTGTGAGATATTACGGGCTGCCCACAATTGACCTATATAAACTAGGATTTTCACAAGGATCTTTGTCATTATTGGTCAGTTTTAGGTTAGCTATCATAGGAGTTTTAACAGGTTTAGCAGTGACCATGTTTTCCTTTTTAACAGATCATTGATGTATTTAGTTTGAGTCAAAAGAAGAGAGTTATTACACATTTTAGTAACTTGTATGCCCAAGAAATAATTTGGGAAACCAAGATCCCTAACAGGAAGTCACAACGAAATCTATCTAAACTTGTGAGGAACCACTTATGATTAGGTCATCGACATAGACCAATATTAATATAATATTGCTAGTAGTAATCCTAAAAAATAATGAGCAATCAGATTTAGCAGAATTAAAACCAATAACAGAGAGAGAGTATCATGAAGTTTTTGGAACCAAGCCCAAAGGGCTTCTTTTAAACCATATAGAGATTTTTGTAACTTACAGACCATATTCTTGTCTCCATTTGTAAATCTAGGAGGTTGTGTCATATATATTGTCTCCTGTAAATCTCCATTAAGAAAAACATTAGAAATATCAAGTTGTCTTAAAATCCAATTTAATGATAATGCAATAGTTAAAATAGTTCTTATAGTAATAGGTTTAACAATAGGACTAAACATTTCAATAAAGTCCAAACCACTTTGTTGATTGAAGCCTTTAGCCACAAGACATGCTTTTTGCCTATTAATGGTGCCATCAACATTTGTTTTGACTTTGAAGATCCACTTATAGCCAACCAAGTTAGCTCCTGCAGGTAGATGAGTCAAAACCCAAGTCTTATTGCAAATTAGAGCATTATATTCTTGATCCATAGCTTGTTTCTAGTTAAGAATGGCTAACACCTCTTTGATGGTTTTGGGTTCCTTGAAAGGATCATGCAACTTTTGAGTTGGAGTGGTGATTTCATAGGTTTTCAGTTTGAAAATGCCATGTTTGCTTCTAGTTATCATAGGATGATTATTGGTAACTGTTGGGGTAGGAGACTGTGATGGTTCTGTATGAGGTAAAATTTGTTCATTTGTGGTGAGGTCATTACTACTTATGGAAGTTGGTGGTTTAGGATTTTGAGTGACAATAGGTGTAGGATTATGTTAATCAATTAGAGGAATATATGGAAAAGAATCATGTGAAAGCGATGGTGTAATGAGAGTAGAGGATTTTGCGAAATCAGGATTACTAGCAAAAGGAAAACAAATTCATTAAAAATTACATGTCTAGAAATATAAAATTTACCCGTTGAGGATAAACACATATAGCCTTTATAAGAATTATTGTATCCAAGGAACACACATTCAGATGTCTTAAAGTCAAACTTATTTTTGTTGTATGGCCTTAAAAAAGGGTAACATGCTGAACCAAAAACCTTCAAATCATTATAAGAGGGAGATTTTAAAAAAAGTTTTACCATAGGAGTTGAAAAAGCTAAAGTTGGTATAGGCAATCTGTTAATAATATGGATAGTAGTGTTAAAAGCCTTTCCCCAATATTTTTAAGGCATGAAAGCATGAGCAAGTATACTTAACCCCATTTCTATTATGTGTCTTTGTTTCTCTCAGCATTGCCATTTTGTTCATGAATATAAGGACAACTACACTAGTACAAAAAGGGTAATTTACATTGGTTATTTTAAGATTTTTACGTCAGAAAAATGTCCGATGTAAATGCGGGAGACGTAAATTTACGTCGGCTGTGATAGCCAACGTAAATTTACGTCAGCCATTCACAAGAGCTGACGTAAAAAAGTTGGAAACCAAAAAAAAAAATAACGCGTGCAAGCAGAACAGCCCGTTCTGCTTGTAGATCCACCCAAACGCGAAACATTTTCTACCTGGTATTAACTAATATATTAACAAACGATGATTCACCCAAACGTGAAGAAGAAGATAATATTAACTAATATATTAATAGATCAATACATATATTTATTTTCAACATATTAGCTAATATATTAAGAAAGGATTTTCCAAACTAACCACAAACGCGAGCCTAATGCAATCGGTCAAAAACTCAAGAACCACCTAAACGCGCAAACATACACTCAGATGCAATACACTCAAACGAAATCTTAAGTCAGAAAACTCGAATGGCACATACACTCAAAGCTCTCTTGTTTAAATATTGACGCGCGCGCGAATACAATTTGAAATTTGTAGATATTTTACGTCGGACCTCGTAGGGGCCGACGTAAAAAAGTTTGACTTAATTACAAAAATGCCACCGCATTTTTTTAACGTCAGATTTTTCTTTGTCCGACGAGAATATAGTGACGTAAATTACCCTTTTTCTACTAGTGTAATATGATGTAGGATGCCATGTTCTTGTAAAAATTTCGTAAAAGCAATATATTCTTTGCTACCATTACTCGGTATGCATTTGATTTTGTGATCTAATTGATTTTCTATCATGTTTTTAAAATGTATGAAACATGTTAATGCTTGAGACTTATGCTATAACAAGTAAATCCAGGTGTACTTAGAATAAACATCAACACAGTTCATATAATACCTGCTTCCATTAGAGGATGGAATGGGAGAAGGTCCCCACAGGTCACTGTAAACCATTTGTAGGGGAGCAGTAAAAGTAGTTGTAGAGGAAGAAAAAGGCAATCTATGTATTTTACCATGACAACATGCCTTACAAATAGAAAAAAGTTTTATTGTTTGGAACAACCAAATTACACTTAGACATAGCATGAATAACACTTGTTACATTTGCATGTTCCTAACCTGCCATGCCAAAGTCTATATAAGTCTTCCTTATTACTACTATTTAAGCCACTAATTAGTGAGTTACATGTTGGCACAAACTTAGTATTCACAATGTTGAGATCATCAAAAGCATAGAGACCATTACGAAAATAGCCCTTCATGAGAATGGGCATTTGATATTGCATGTATTAGGGTGAAATTCAAAAAACACCTTATTATCTCTAGCAAATTGAGACACATTAAGCGAGTTTTTGGAAATAGATTAGACATGCAATAAATGATTCAAAAATAAAGGCTTAACTGACTTAGAAGGATAGAAATAGGAATTACCAATTTATTGTATGGAGGAAGACTCTCCATTTGCCATTTTCAACTTAGCCTCACCTTTGTAGGATATCTTACCCATGAGGTTGGATGCATTAGGGGTGACGTGGTTTGTTTCCCTGGTATCTAGGTACCAAGATGGATTATATAATGTCTTTGGAACAACCATTAATGTTGACACATTTACGTGATCATCAAGATTAGCCTTAATGTTCATCACCTTGTTTTGAGACTCTAAGTAGTGACTTTGTTGTTGAAAAGTTGGATTATCATGTTGAAAGCTAGGATTAAATCTGTGATAGCACTGGAGAGTAGTGTGACCAGGTTTTTGACAAACTTGACATTGCACCTTATTATAGCCACGACCATTGTTTCTACCAAAACCTTTGTCACGATATCTAAGATTGCTTCCTCCACGAAAATTTTGGGGATTCTTGCTATAAATCCTAAATTCTTGATTCTTGCCAAATCGATTTTGAAATTGAGCCATATTTTCTTGAAGAGATTGCATAGCAAAACTATCAGATTCTTCTTTCTTTTGTCTCTCTAGGCGACTTTCAAGGGTAGCTAGGAGAGTTTTAATCTCGGTAACTGTGTAGGGATCAGTGCATGAAATAATAGAGGTAACAAGAGAGTTGTATTCACTTGAAAGCCCATCAAGAATGATGGAGATGTGTTCAGATGGGTCAATTGGGGATCCAACAGAGTCGTGGGTATCCACAATTTTCTTGATTGATAAAAGATAATTGTTGAGAGAATCAATTTTACGAATACCTTTGAGTTGGGTTTTCAATCGACTCACCTTTGCATGAGTTTGAGATTCAAAGTAGGTGTGGATGGATTTCCAGATTTGGTGAGCGTCGTTGCAACCCACCATGCGAGCACGAAGAGTAGGAGACATTGAAGTAAGAAGCCAGGTATATACGACTTGATCCTGTTACTCCCAATTAGCATAGTCGTTAGAAATTTTACCAAGAGCCATATTGTCTGTCTTTGAATTTGTTGGGCATGTCACCATGAGAGGAAAAATTGATGAATCGTTGTAACTTGAAGGATTTGATGGTGCCCGAAGCCTGTATCTTCCATGTAAGGAAGTTTTCATCATCAAGTTTGACTGAAACAGGTACGATTGTTTGGATTGCAGAAGCTGTTGAAGAATTCATTATTTGTCCCAAGATCTTATCGCTCTTGATACTATGTAAGAGTTAGAGAAGAGAGAAAGAGAGGAAAGATATGTGTGTTAATATTTCTGAACATACTACATAATATATGTAGAGAAAATCTATGGGCCTGATGGGCCTTATATAACTATATTCCCTTTACACGCTGCACAGTTTGAAAAAACTTAAAACTGAACTAAACTACTTATTTACAATTTTACATTGATTTATAATTTTTTTATAATTAGTTTGTGATTTTTCACTGGATCGGTTCAGTTTTAAGTAACTCTATTACATAGTAGTAGTAAAATAGAAAAGGTGGGCTCGTGGTGGTGGGTTACCCGAGTTGAAGTAGGTAGTAGAACGGTTCGTTTAAGGGTCCAATTAACCAACACATTTGATTCACGCGACGCCCATAACCATAACACTCCGATTCAACTCAACTCTCTCTGCTCCTTCACGCAGCCACACACCACTTCCTCCATCTCCCATTCTTCCTCTCCTTTTCAACAAAGATCCAAATGCCTTCAGCTTCCTAAACACGCAAACCAATGGCAGAAACCGTAGTTTTCTTCGTCGCCGCCGCCGCCGCCGCTGCCGGAGAACCTCCTCTCTCACGGTTCTTCAATCGAACCTTTCTCTCCGTCAAGCAGCACCTCCTCGCTCACATTTTCCGCCTCCAAAACGACGCCGTCGCACCTGCCAGGCAAGCGATTTCTGTTATCCCTCACTGCGTTGCGTCTCTTTCTCTTTCAACTTTCTCAGGACGACGTCGTTTTCCGTTGCAGGATTTGCCGTGACGTGGATGCGGCCTTTGGGAAAAAATGCGAAGTGAACGCCGGAGATTGTTCGCCAAACGACAGGGGTTTTGGCGCCGACGACAATGGCCGGCACGCCGTTTTCAATGCGCTGGATACTATGCTTAAGGACAGTTTAGAGCGTCTGAAGATAATGAGGTTAGCTTCGATTTTATCAAATTCCAAGTGATTATTATGCGTATATGATGATATATGCACGTGCAGGGATCAAGTTACAAAGTCATTTTCATGTCAAACTAAGGCGCTGTTTGGATAAACTTATTGATAAGTATGTAAAAATGAATTGCGTTTCTTTGTTAGTTAAATTCAACGTAGGGTCTGTGTGGATAAATTTTTCCATTAACTCTTCCAGAGAAAAGAAATTAAGGAAAAATGAAATTAGTTTCTGAATAACCTAAAATTAACTTATGAATCGATTAAAAACACATTTTGGAAAAGTTAATTAGAGAGAACTTCTCTAAATTAACTTATGCATAAGTTGATTTAAGTTTTTGGAGATTTTTTTTTCTCTTACAAGTTCTTATGGAGAAGTTTATCCAATCAGGCACCTGTGCATTTCAACTCATAGAAACTCCCTCATTTAACTTATGGAGATTTTTTTTTCTTTTTTTCAAACAATTCCTACGAAGAATAAATATTGATTGCTATATCTTATTTTGAATGATCAAGATTATGGATTTGTTTAGATGAACAACTTAATTAAGTACTTTGAATAGTGTTTATCAGGTAAGTGCATATGTTATTTATCATGTAAGTGCATATGTTCAGGTTGCTTTTGTAGTCAAAGGGGACGCATGGTTAAACAATTTTGATATAAGTTGTGTGGTATTTTTATAAGTTATTATAGAAAAGAGAACTTGTTGAAATAAGCTGATAACGACGTATGGGCTTATCATAAGATATTTTCATAAGCGCTTTCAAACATTTAAGCTAGTGCTTATATATAAATAAATTCAAATAAGTTGTTAATAAGCTCTTTTAAACACACCCTAAAATACACTTTTAATGTGGGTTTTTCACAAGGTCATGTGATTTTTTTAAGTGATATGTATTATGTCATTTTAAAACACTTCAAATCTTGACGATTGACATCCTCGTAAGATTTGTACAATCTAGATGTGTTTCTATCACTCATATAATAATGACTTTCTCACTAGATACATCCCTATATATGTACATCTGTTTTATGTTTATGATAGAATAAAGATGCAAGGCATCCCAATATGAGTGACATTTTGGTTATTATGTCAAATGTTGCAGGGAAAACCTATGTTTGGTAAAGATAGGTCTAACTATGGGATATGCACGTGAATCTAAGTATGCTGAAAATACAGCCACTATTAGGTCTTTGTGCTTGGATGGTAAGTTGGGAGCAGCTTTTTGGCTTCAGAGAAAAATGGTGCAGAAAGGTGTTGTTCCTGATGCGTTTACCCACAACCATATTGTAAATGGGCTGTGCAAAATTGGTCTTCTGGAGAAGGCAGATTGGGTTGTTAAAGAGATGTTAGAATTTGGTCCTCGTCCCAACTGTGCCACTTATAACACTTTGATTAAGGGCTATTGTGCTGTTAATAGTGTGGATAAGGCTTTGTATCTGTTCTCCGCCATGGCCAATGCTGGGATTCTGCCAAACAGGGTTACTTGTAACGTGCTGGTGCATGCACTGTGTGAGAAAGGTTTTGTGAAGGAAGCTAAAAGGATGCTTGAAGCAATATTAAAGGATAATGACGAGAAAGATATACCCGATTTAGTTACCTCTACTATATTTATGGATAGTTACTTTAAGAATGGAGCCATTGTTCAGGCTCTTAGTCATTGGAGTCACATGCTTCAAAATTGTACTAAAGTTGATGTTGTAGCTTATAATGTTCTTATCAATGGATTTTGCAAGAGTCTACAAATGCACCTTGCCTATGGATATGCATGTGAGATGTTTAAGAAAGGTTTGCTTCCTGATGTTTTTACTTATAATATTCTCATTGGTGCTCTTTGTAAGGAAGGCAAAATTAGCGAGGCTTGCTATACCCTTGGTGTTATGTCAAATATGGGGATTATGCCTGATCAAATAACTTACCAGACTGTGATTCGAGGCCTGTGTTTTGATGGAGAGATTGTTAGAGCAAAAAACTTGCTTTCGTGTATGTTGAACAATTTAATGGTGCCCAAGCCTTTAATATGGAACCTAATAATTGACTTATATGGGAGATATAATGATCTTAGTAATGCATTTTTAACAAGAGATCAGATGCTGGCTTTTGGCGTTCTCCCAAATGTATTTACTTATAATGCTTTAATCCTTGCACAAGTAAAGAGTGAAAATTTCTATGGTGCTTGCTCTCTGAAGGAAGAGATGATATCAAAAGGTCTCTGTCCTGATGTAGTTACGTATAATTTGTTGATAGGTGCTGCTTGTAATTTAGGTCGTCCTGATTTTGCACTTCAATTACATAAGGAGATGGTGCAGAGGGGGTATGAACCAGATTCAATAACTTTAACAGAACTTGTTAGGGGGTTCTGTATTAGAAGTAACATGAAAGAGGCAGAAGAGCTCTATGCCAAAATACTAAAATCTGGTTTATTGAATGATCATGTTCCAGTGCAGATCCTTTTTAATAAGTTCTGCAAATTGGAGGAACCAGTTAGAGCATTTAACATCTATCAAGACTTGTTGGAAAGTAAAAAAGCTAGTCGTCCTTACTAAATTCCACAATATGGCTTTAGACATCATGAAGTTGCAAGTTCTGGAAAAAGAGAGCCACATTTGCTTTAAAGGCACTTGTTATTTCTACTGAAATTCAGACTTCCATTGAAATGTCGGCAGTGGTTCATATGAGTAATGAATGCTCCAGGTGTGTGTTAGCACTTTATCCCACGCAATTTACTTTCTGTGAAATAATTGTCAGTCTCAATCATCCCAACTGTTACTAAATGTTGTACACGAAAGCATAAGTAGATTCTGGGTTGAAATGTATTCTAGATGTGTGTATCATTTTCACCCTTCTGAATTTATAAATTGTTTGATTCTAAATAAATTGCAGTTAGGGAGGCCAGGCAATTTTTTAATTGATCCTATAGGAGGGGAAACCATAGAGAACACAGACTAGTAATATAATTTTTAAACTTCAAGTTTTGGTTTTCTGTATTTCTAATCTTCCTTTGTCATCTTGTCTCTTTTGGTTTGGAAATTTCTTTATGCCAATATGAAATTTGTGCTTCTGTTAACTGATGAGATTTTTCTCGTTTATGGTCCAAATAATTAAATTATTTCAAGACACAATTCTGCATTCTGTTTTCCTGAATTTGGGACAACAATAATTAAACAACTTAATGGCTTTGGCAAAAAAATTGAAAAATGAAGTTAGGGATCCTATGCTTTAGATGAGCATCTTTTAATGATTTCAGATTTTAAGTTACTTGTGTTGGTGAGTGACATGTAGGTCTTTTATGGGATTGCAACATACTTCCATACTCCAGAAGATGTCATCAGCAGATACAAGTAAAAGTGTAAAACAAGTTCAGGGCTTGTTATGCTTCTACTCAGGTTTGTTTTTAGAATTTATTATTCTTTTATCGCAACAAATTTTTAAAACATTTAATCATGGAACTAACATAGGGAGTACTGAAGACATGAATATGATTCTAGAGTTTCATGTAATCAGTTGACTTAGGTTGAATCATATCCCTTGTTCACTTAGATGATAATAGTTATAAAGTCATATACAAAAAATATACTGCTTAAGATTGCATATATCTGGTTGAGTGTATTATTAGTTTTTGGCTATTACATGAATTTAGATTAACCTGTAAATTTTTTTTTTCGGGGGTGGGGTAACTAATTTTATTTCCCAAGTTGACCCATTCTACCTAATTACCTGCAGTTCATAATTTCATATTGCAGTGCGTTCTAATTTGTATTGTGAGAAACTGCTGAGAATATTAATGAGCTCTAGAAGCCAAGATTTGCTAAAACTCCAAACCAAATAAAGAGGAGGGATAAAATAATAAGTATCTGGGAAATAAGAAAGAGTATGAGATACTAATACTTGCTATAATTTATCATCCTCAATATTGTCTGTAGAGTCACACTCGACATTATTTATGTTCAGTTTGATTATATACTGGTATTTGATTTGGGCATAGGGTTGTTTCCTGTAGCCACTATCGCTTGGTGGGTGGAGCTATTCTGACTAGACTTAACCAATATCATTGGGTTGTGATGAAGGGTGTATTTGAGTAGGAGTAAAAACCCAGGTAGCTTGTACGTCTATCCTATCTTCCCCCAGCCAGACAGTGAACCTTCCATGGAGATTTAAATTACTGCTCGGTGCTCATATAATTTTACTGAATTTTTCATGAAAAGGAAAATAGGGTAGAGTGTTGTATATTAAAAATTTAAATGAAAATTGAGCATTTGGTTGTCATTGCCTTTATGGAAATTTCCCATCCAAATTGAATTTTGAATATAACACAGTTAATCTGATATACAAAAGCACGGGTGTTACAACTATGATTGTTTGATTATTATTTACAAATATATATTTAATTTTGGATATTTTTTTAATTTGAAGCAGAAATTTGTGTATAGTGTAAGTTGTAATTTATTTATCTTGTATATATAATCTTTAGTATATCAGCCATCCCACAATCTGCTATTCTGATACAGCAGTTTTGGGGTAGGCCACTCTGCATTGCTATTTGGGTTTGATAACTTCTTTGTAATGATCAGAAAAACCCAAAATACTTACTAGAGCAGCAGATTATCAACCCCAACCAGCAAGATTGATTAGCCAAAGTGCTTGGTTATTGCTTTGATAGTGTTTAAATTGGGGAAAACAAACCAAGGTGCAGATGTCTTATCTTGTATAGGAGAGGAGGAGTGGGTCAACAGAAAAGATACCAAGTCATGTCTCCTGCAGGACTCCTCCAACCATTGCTGATATGCTCATTGTGAATGTGCATAGAAGGAGAGGGAATATAGAGGCCATGGGAGTAGTAAAGGTATTAAATGGGCTTAAGAAACCAAGCCTATTGGTGTATGAGAGAATGAAGAAAAAGGTGGCAACAGAAGAGGAGGTAGAGGAGGAGAGAGACAAAATAACAGAATGGGCAGGTGGTGGAAGGAGTATGGAGTAGGGGTATTCAATGAAATCTGGAAGGGGAGAGGGAAGTGGTTGAACTTGAATCGAGGGGGTAGTATCTGAAAGGGGTATGAGGAAATTTGTTAAGGGTCTCGATCAGGTTAGATAGAGTAGAGGAGCTGGTCTCTTATGGGGATTTACCATTTTTGTGATTATTTCATCTTGTAAGGAGCTTCGCTCCATTCCATTGTTATTGTTCTTATTATAGTAGTATCTGCTTAAAACCTGTAACAGAGGCTTCTACCTTTGAGTATTAAGATTATTTTCATATACATTTCAGTCTAGTTTCCCCTTCTATATCTGGTACCTATCAATTGCTCATCCCTAACAGTGTGTTTGTTTCACATATTAAAACTCATTCCTGGGAATATGTATTTAGGAATGTTATATTCTCATATTTGTTTGGAGTTTTGGAAAAATATTCCTAGGAAAGTAGTTACGACATTGTTTGCTTCATTTCTATTCCCATGGTGGAGGATTGGAAAGTTGTATTCCCATGGGGATGTAGAAAGTTATATTTTAACTCAATCATTTTTTATTTTAATTGTTTTAATTAATTTAAAATTTAAAATTATTAATAGGAATGTTAAAATCCTATCAAACACATTTTTAAATATTCCTGGAAATAATATTCCAAACAACAATATTCCTAGGAATATGATTCTTGGGAATGTAGTATCATGCCTTGAAACAAACGCATCCTAAGGAAATGGGATCAGATGAATTTGATAATGGGGGTTATGGTTGTCATAGGCACATGAAGTTTGGATATACGTCCCTCTCGAACACCTATTTACTTCACATACAGTAGCTGAATTATTTGCTTAAGAAAATTGTCGAGCTTGATGGGGATCCCAAGCTCCATTTTAGATCGGTGTAATCAAACTTGGCTCGGACCGGTCGGTTCGACAAATTGACTTGTGAACTGGTCACCTAAGTGGTCTGAGTCCCATATCAAATTGGATGTTATTGGACCGGTACAAACCGGATTGACTCGGGCAGGTTTGTAGAAAACGGGCGAACTGTGACCTGCTTTTATCTGTTTTTTCAATCCACCCGAAGTCAAGCACGTGTCCCAAGAGTTTGCACCTGTCTGATGTCTGCTACACTATTCAACAGAATTGTGCATGCTGAATGACAGGTCTGGCTGCATGCTTTATTGAATTGTGTCCACTCGCCTGCATGCTCTGATTCATTGGAAGAATATAACAAAACATTACATAAAATAAAAATTTTGGCTTTTGTTGGGGCAGAACCCAGATCCCTCAGGTTAACAAAGAAGACATTAACCACTACATCAATGTATCTTTGCAAATTATATTTGACAAATTTTATTTTTATACTATATCATTAATATAAATTATATATTTAATAATATACGGTTCAACTAGTGATCTACTTTGACTGTGTTGATGACCTGTTCGGTTTTGATAACACTGTTTTAAATGACTGCGATCCCACATTTTTCTTAATCAAATTCTTGTGAGAATTTTTCTGCTTGCAAGTGACAACTCTGAAATAGAGCTCTTCCTATCATCCTGAGATGGATGGACAAATGACGGTCTTGAATTGGGAGTTGGTGTACTTGATGTGATTTGCAATAGATCAGCTGAAGCAGCAGGCCAATTGGTTACATTGAGCAGAGTATTTGTACAACATTGTGTATCAAACCCAAATTGAGACTAGAAGCACACCTTTCGAGTTGGTGACTGAGGTAGTGGCTAATGACTTTAAGAATAAAGAAGCGATAATTAAACAGATCTGGTATCACCTTTAGATGGCTCAGTAACATCTGTGAAGGCAGATCACATTTGCACCAGTAGAGTGGGTTTATTTGAGGCCAAGTCCTTATAGGAAGCAATCTGTTGTAAGAATTGGCCTTTTCAGATTGAGGCAAGAATTGGTGCTGTAGCATATAGGCCGAAACTTCTTGACACCGTTTGTATTCATCCCATTCCATCTTTCATGTGCCTCCATTGAAGCATACATAAATATGCATGGCTGTGCATATTTACGCATGATTGTGCATATTTATGCATAGTTGTGCATGTTTTCAATGTTAGGCATTCCATAATCTTGCACAGGGGTGCCTCAGGCTGCATGCTTCGCATGAGCCTTGTGCACATCTTTGATGGGTCTTTTAAATTGGAATGGCCATCCATAATGTTGCACAGCTAGGCGTGGTTGTGGTTAATATTCTTGTCAATCATCTTGAGAATTAGCTCCTTTTGATATGAATTGAACTACTATGTTTATATTCATCTATCCTACACCCAAAAGAAGGGAAAATGAATGAACTTTAGGATCAAATACTGATGAATAAGATACAAATGCACCCAATATTCTTAGGTAAACTGGTAGAGTGACGGTTATCAAAGTTTCTGTGGGAGGGCATGTGATGAAGCTTACTCTACCAGTAGGTTGGAAGTGGATGATCTGTCAATCAAATGTCAAGAAGCATTGACCTATCAAGCTATCATTTGCATCAATCACCAAGTGCTACAAGTGTTTGGTCTAATTGGCCACAATCATCAACCCAAGCTACATGTGAGGGTGTGTATGTGATCAGGGCTTGTTTCCTGATTTTAGCCTTTAGAACAAGGTTCATGACACCCTGAGAGATTTTGTTAGGCCAGAAACTTCTGAAATTGTGAGACTCTGGGTGTGTAAAAATGGTCCTAGAGTTTTGAAACTTTACAAAGAACATGGGTGTAGTGGGGAACATGGGGAGAGAGTGAGAAGTTATCTCTCTTTGCAATGGCCTGGTCCAGCAATGATATCTATTCCTGGTGATAGTTTCTTTTCTGGTTAAATTTTAGTCACTTCTCTGTAAAATTCAGTGTACTTTTTGACACCTGATTGAGTTTAATAATACTTGGTGGCTTTCTATCCTTTGTGCTTTTTTTCTTATCGCTGATCTAATAACATACCTGTCTTGGCACTAATTATCTGTATAAAAATATTAAACCATATATAATTGACTCAAAGATTGATGGCATTTGCACATTCAATTTTCTAAGTGATCATGTATTCTTTCTTTTTTCTTATTCATTCTCAACTCAAGAAGCAGAAAGTTGTGGATTTGCCTCTTCTCCATGCTTCATTTCTGTCTATAGAATTCTTGATTATTCATTCATATTTGTATTAATGCTAATTGTATTTATCATTATATATTTGATATCTAGTAGAAGGAGCAGTTGGAAGAAGTGTTGCTTCTCTAGTTGGAGGTTATCATGACAGATGTCCAAAAGTGTACCATTGTCTTGGGCCGAGTGTGGCTAACAGAAAACCTGGGGAATTATAAGCACTGCTGCTGTGGTTCATACTTCGTAATGTTGAAGGATTCAAACTGCAAATTTAGGTGGGTGTGCTAACCATTTTATTGTTAGTTAGTGTTTGTAAATGTTAATGGCGAAGTCTAGTTTAGCTAGCATATTTACTAGTGATTTTAATTGGTGGATAAATAAATAGGATACATGGATTGAAATGTAGCTTTATCTTTACTTTGTATTTGAAAATTTAAAAGAATTTAGTTGCAGCCACAACCACAACGGATTGTGTCACCGTAGGAAATATGACAGCCAGGGCATATTTTTAAGAGGCTGATAATTTATTCATCTTGTCAATGTAAAATGTTGGAATGTTGAGGCGAAATGTCTATGCTTCAGCTACGTTTGATTGAGAAATGTATACGCACATAAAAATTGAAACCCGTCAGAAATGTAAATTGGCGTTGCGGATTGTGATATCTGGCATTTTAACACTTTTTTCATAAAGTTAAAAAATAAATTATATTTGTTCAAATTTAAAAGGATTTGTGGTTTTTTAGTGATTTAATTCAGTTTGAAGTATGAATTTATAATTATTAATCAGAAAAATAATGTTGGCTAGTTTTATAAATATTATACATGTGCAGACATTTTAGATTTTAATTTTGATATAATGCTGGTATGTACATGTATATATATATATATATATATATATATATAAATTTGTATACAACACAAAACATCACATCAACTCATCTTCAACAACACAACAACATAGCATCACAACAC